GGAAAGATTATTTATTACAATATAATAAAATATAAGTCATGGGACCCTTTAGATATATATTGATGGGTCATATACTTGGGGATGATTGCCAACATGTATCTTGGGGGGTTTATTTTTTATTTTTTTTTCTTGGGGGGTTTAGTGATAAAGGAGATTTTTTTTTTTTTTTAAAGATTTTATTTAGGGACAACTAGGTGGCTCAGTGGATGAGCACCTGCCTTTGGCCCAGGGCGTGAAGTCCCTATGTCTTTTCTTTTCTTTCTTTCTTTCTTTCTTTTTTTTTTTTTTTTTTAAAGATTTTATTTATTTGTCATGAGAATACACAGAGAGGAGAGAGAGAGGCAGAGACACAGGCACAGGGAGAAGCAGGCTCCATGCACGGAGCCCGACACGGGACTAGACCCCGGGGTCTCCAAGATCACGCCCTGGGCTGTAGGCGGCGCTAAATGGCTGAGCCACCGGGGCTGCCCAGTCCCTATTTCTTCATGAGAGACACAGAGAGAGGCAGAGACACAAGCAGAGGGAGAAGCAGGCTCTTCATGAGGAGCCTAATGTGAGACTTGATCCCAGGACCCCGAGATCATGACCTGAGCCAAAGGCAGACGCTCAACCACTGAGCCACCCAGGCGCCCAATAAAGGAGATTTCTAAAGGAAATTTGTTAAATATGTTACAGTAGATCCTGGGGATTGGGTTAAGCTTGTTTTTGCCTTTAGCAAAGTATTAATATCGAGGCAGTTGAGTCGCTAGAGGAATGTCACTCTGCTTGTTTCAAGGACTTGCCAATGGGCTGTAGGCATTAAGGAAATTTAATAATTTGTCTTCTGCCTTTGTTTCCCACATCCACACCTACCTTCTTCCTTTAGATAAAAGCTACTCTTGTGGAGAACATGGTTTCTAGAGGCAAAGTAATTTCTGAAAACTTGGCCCAAATACTTTCTGTGGACATATTACAAATATGTATTTATTTAGCTACCTTTAAAAAAGAGTAGGTATCATGTACAACATGGGGCTTGAGACACTGAGGTCAAGAGTAGCATGCTCTACTAGGCTGCCAGGTGCCTCTACAGAGCTACCTTTGATTCATACTGAATAATTTTTTCTTTCTTTCTTTCATTTTTTTTTTTTTAAGATTTTATTTACTCATGAGAGACACACAAAGAGAGGCAGAGCCACCCAGGCATCCTGACACATCATTCCTTTGTACATAAATATCCTTCCGGTTTTAAAAACTAATATGCAGGGACACTTGGTTGGCTCAGTCGGTGGAGCATGCAACTCCTGATCTCAAGGTCATGAGTTTAAATAAACAAACAAATAAAATAAAATAAAATAAAATAAAATAAAATAAAATAAAATAAAATAAAATAAAATAAAAGGGCAGCCTGAGTGGCTCAGCGTTTAGTGCCGCCTTCAGCCCAGGGCGTGATCCTGGAGACCCAGGATTGAGTCCCATATCGGGCTCCCTGCAGAGAGCCTGTTTTTTCCCTCTGCCTGTGCCTCTGCCTCTCTCATGAGTAAATAAATGAAATCTTAAAAAAAAAAAAAAGAGAGAGAGAGAGTGGTATGTGATTCTTTCACATGTAGAGTGCAGTTCTTTAAAACCCATACTTCTGGGCAGCCTGGGTATCTCAGGGTTTAGCACCTGCCTTCGGCCCAGGGTGTGATCCTGGAGTCCAGGCATGGAGTCCCGCATCGGGCTCCCTGCATGGAGCCTGCTTCTCTCTGCCTGTGTCTCTGTCTCTCTCTCTCTCTGCATCTCTCATGAATAAATAGATAAAATCTTTAGAGATAAATAAAAACCTTTTTGGGGTGCCTGGGTGTCTCTGTCAGTGAGCATCTGACTTGATTTCAGCTCAGGTCATGATCTCAGCATCCTGAGACTGAGTCCCACATCAGGCTTACGCTCAGTGGGGAGTCTGCTTGAGGATTCTCTCTCCCTCTGCCCCTTCTCCTACTCACTCTCTAAAATAAATAGATCTTTAAAGAAATAAAATTTAAAAAAATTTAAAAATGTTTGGGGTGCCTGGCTGGCTTAGTCGGAAGAGCATGCAACTCTTGATCTCAGATTGAGCCTGGTAGGCATTGAGATTACTATAAAACAAAACTTTTTTTTTTTAAAAACAAAACTTTTAAAAAAATAAGTAAAAGCAAATGTACAAACTGAGTGAAAAGTACTCTGCACAATCTTTAGTTTCCTTTGAATCTTATTTTTTTTAAAGCCAATATACAGATACACCTAAAATAACCGAAAACAGGGCTTCAGACACTCATACACTCATATTCATAGCAGCACAAGTCACAACAGCCAAAAGGTGGAAACCCAAGGGACTGCTGACAGATGAATAAACACAGTGTGGTATATCCATACAATGGAATGCTGTATTCAGCCATAAAAGAAATGAAATTCTGATATATGCTACACAGATGAACCTTGAAAACATTACGCTAAATGAAATACACCAGGGGGATCCCTGGGTGGCTCAGCGGTTTAGCGCCTGCCTTTGGCCCAGGGCGCGATCCTGGAGACCCGGGATCGAAACCCGCATCAGGTTCCCTGCATGGAGCCTGCTTCTCCCTCTGCCTGTGTCTCTGCCGCTCTCTCTATGTCTATCATGAATAAATAAAATCTTTAAAAAAAATAAATGAGGGGATCCCTGGGTAGCGCAGCGGTTCAGCGCCTGCCTTTGGCCCAGGGCACAATCCTGGAGACCCGGGATCGAGTCCCACGTCGGGCTCTCAGTGCATGGAGCCTGCTTCTCCCTCTGCCTGTGTCTCTGCCTGTGTGTGTGACTATCATAAATAAATAAAAATTTTAAAAAAATTAAAAATAAAAATAAAAAGAAATAAATACAGCAGACACAAAAGGACAGATAATGCTTGACTGCACTTTATATGAAGTATATCTCCTATAGGCGAATTCATAGATACAGAAAGACTAAGAGCTACCAAGGGGCTAGGGCAAGGGGGATGGGGATGGGGAATTACTGCCTAATGGTTGACAAAGCTTCTGGTTGAGATAATAAAATTTGGAAATAGGGATACCTGGTTGGTGCAGTTGGTAAAACATGACTCTTGATCTTGCAGTTGGGAGTTTGAGCCCCACATTGGGTGTAGAGCTTTCTCAAAAAAAATTTTTTTTCTTTTTTAAAGATTTTATTTATTTATTCGTGAGAAACAGAGAGACAGGTAGAGACACAGGCAGAGGGAGAAGCAGGCTCCATGCAGGGAGCCCAACGCGGACTCGATCCCGGGTCTCCAGGATCACGCCCTGGGCCAAAGGCGGCGCTAAACCACTGAGCCACCCAGTCTGCCCAAAAATTTTTAAATGATTGTAGGAAGTTTTGGAGACAGGTATTAGTGATGGCTGTACATTGTTGTTGTTGTTTTTTTAACATATCTTATTCATGAGAGACAGAGAGAGGCAGAGACATAGGCAAAGGGAGGAGAAGCAGGTTCCATGCAAGGAGACTGATGTGGAACTCGATCCTGGGTCTCTGGGATCAGGCCCTGAGCCAAAGGCAGACCGCTCAACCACTGAGCCTCCCAGGCGTCCCTGATGGTTGTACATTGTGAATGTAATTAATGCCACTGACTTGAACCCTGATGAGGTAACAAAAAGTTGGAAGTGAGGATCAAAACATAATCCCAGGAAGGTATAAGGAAGCATTTTAAAAAATTAATTGGTTAAGAAACAATTTAACTCAACAAGCATTTAAATTTCTACTATGTGCAATGAAACGCCGGGGCACCTGCACCCCGATGTTTCTAGCAGCCATGTCCACAATAGCCAAACTGTGGAAGGAGCCTCGGTGCCCATCGAAAGATGAATGGATAAAGAAGATGTGGTTTATGTATACAATGGAATATTACTCAGCCATTAGAAACGACAAATACCCACCATTTGCTTCAACGTGGATGGAACTGGAGGGTATTATGCTGAGTGAAGTAAGTCAATCGGAGAAGGACAAACAGTGTATGTTCTCACTCATTTGGGGAATATGAATAATAGTGAAGGGGAATATAAGGGAAGGGAGAAGAAATGTGTGGGAGATATCAGAAAGGGACACAGAACATAAAGACTTCTAACTCTGGGAAATGAACTAGGGGTGGTGGAAGGGGAGGAGGGCGGGGGGTGGGGGTGAATGGGTGACGGGCACGGAGGGGGACACTTGACGGGATGAGCACTGGGTGTTATTCTGTATGTTGGTAAATTGAACACCAATAAAAATTAATTTATAAAAAAAATAAATTTCTACTATGTAACAGAAATGATGGATACCAAGAAAAACATGGTTTCCAATCTTATAGAGAAAAAGCAAGATGCTAAGACTTTCCCATCTTCAATTCTTTCAACATGGTAAAAACTGAGGCACCTTGCTTTGCATCCACTCAGAAAGCAAGAATGCTTCTCTACACGTCATCAAGCAAGATAAAACCAGACCTCAGATCACTCAACTGGGAAACTAGCATAGGATAAGCATCACACTGGAGCATAATCCTAACTGTACTTTTGTTTGTGTCCACTCCGTACTTTTAGCAACATCTGCAACCCCCAAGGACTTGCTAGAAATGAAAATTCTGAAAGAAAGAAAGAAAGAAGGAAAGAAGGAAAGAAGGAAAGAAAGAAAGAAAGAAAGAAAGAAAGAAAGAAAGAAAGAAAGAAAGAAAGAAAGAAGAAAAAAAGAAAATTCTTGGGCCCTACCCCAGACCTGGATCAGAAACTCTGGAGGTGGGGCCCAACCATCTGTTGTAGCAAGCCCTGCCTGGGATTCTGATGTGGGCTATGCTGGACAACCATTGGTCAAGGGCACAATAAAGCACAGCCTGTCACCAAAGAATTCAGGGGGGAAAAAAGCCAACCAGTTGGTTTTTTGAAAAACACATGCACAATGTCTTCCCACCATTTAACAGGTTTATGGAGAGAGCATGATTCTGAAAGAATGAAAAACCTACAGCTTTTTGTTTTAAACAGCAAGAGAACTGAAAAAAAAAAAAAAGTGATCTTTAAAAGTATGAGTTTATTCTCCAGGTTTTTACACACCCACAAATTAGAGCTTTTATTGCAGCTATATCCAGGAGCTGGAAACAATGAAAAATATGTACTTGTATCATACATGTAACACTTATAAGATAATGGAACAGTTAGAATTTTAAAGATTAGTTTTTCAATGATTCAGTAAGCATATGGAAATTAGGGTTAATTACAGAAACAGCTATTGAACTCTAAAATAAAAACATAAATTATATAAAAATAAAAGGGTAAAAAACGTTTCATTTAAAAAATGAAAACAAAAAACAGTGGCTTATCATCTCTCTGCTAGTTAGTAACCTAATGAAAGTGAAAATGAGTCAAGTATTATCTTTCCCATATTTAAAGCAAAGTGGTTCTATCCTTTTCATGAATAGTCAGCTTTAGGTCTGAAATGGAAGCCAGGATTTGGCTTTCGAACATCTCAAATATTTTATTGCCCTGTGTTAACGGATTCTTCTTTGTAACACTACGAAATTTAAGTTTGCTCGGAGGAGAAAAAAACCAACTGGATAGGCAGTTAAATCAAATGGGATTCAGTTACAAATGGCACCAACTCAGAACAAAGAGCTTAGTTTGAGGGCAAGCATGTTAAATAAAGACCAAAGAAGAGGATCATTTGAGATCTTTACAACAATCAAGTATTTGGCCAAATAGCCAGGTTTGGCAAGTACAGGGATAATGAGTTAGCAAGTTAATGAGAAGCTAGATTCAAATTAGCTCCAACTTGATTTACAAATTAACAATACAAGATGATTTCATTTTCTATCCTTTTCACTCAGAAGAAAATTTAAACCATATTCCTATTGCTGGTGTGAACTTCTGATGTTTCTTGCCATATTTTTGGTTAGATTTTTAAAGATAAGTGGTAGCAGATGTTTATGTTATTAATGTGACCAATACATTAAATTTCCAAATAATAGAATTAGATTTAATACTAGGTTATTACTCACAATGACTCAACATAAATAGCAGAGGTCCCACAAGTGTCCTCAGCCATGGGATCACAGACTAGGACAATTTAGTGACCACTAAATGAAAATGAATTATGAAAAATGCTATTTCCAGAATGTCTTTTTTCTCCCATCCCTTCATTTGGATTTTTTAAAAAAGTAGACCTCATACTTTCATTGTTTAAACATCATTTTAAATAACCTTCAGTTTTCCTTGAAATAAATCACATTTTTAAAAACTTCAAAAATTTGCTATTAATTGATCTCAGATGTTTGATAGTAAAACTTGTTATAAAAAAAAAACCAATACTATGCCATTTGCTAAGAGGGTGACTGAGTCTTTTTGTTGTCATTTTTTTTAAAGCATTTTAGGTTGTAATCCAGTGTCCATATAATGGAACTAAAGTTCCTATAAAGAGGGAATGAATTTGGAACATTGATATAATTAGATCTATAAGTGAAAGTCACAAAGAAATCTTTTAAAAATGACTGTGTGTGTTAAATTGTGTGTTAAATCAACACAATGTCATTTCATTTTGTTTAACAACTGGTCAAGTCAGAGAAAGGGAATGAAAATAATCAAGCTACTGTGATTGAAACCAGTTTGACTCAGAGGGAAAAAACAATTATGTCTATATTAAGTCTTCAGCCTACCAGATCACTCTAACTCTATACATACTCAGTCTAGAGGCTTTCTGCCACAATACTAAAATACAAATTCTTCACAAATCACAACTCTATCCCAAATATTCTATGTCCTATGTCATTTTTAAAATTCTACTACATAATTGATAGCTTTACAACAGAATTTCTTTTATTTAAAAAATAGTTAAATCACTATCCCACAAAATGTTCAGAAACACAGGTAACTATAGAAAGTCAATGTGCATATACTGCTTTTATTATGATAATTATGGTTGTTAGCTGAATGAGAACAAATAATAGCTAAAAAGTTTTCAAATGATAGAAAAACACATTTGGGTAAGTTATGACACAATTGTTTGAGTTCATAGACAACAGAAATAGAAATTTTTTTTGCACCAATTGCAAATGCAAAGTTAACGATAAAATCAGGGAACTGAAGGGTTGAAAGGGGCCTTAAACATATTCACTATCTTAAATTTTAGACAAAGGAGCTGGGAATAGAAAAAAAAAAAAACACAACAAACCCAACATATACACCATAACAGTCTTTTATGACTTCCAATTTTAACTCTTTCCTAAAAGCATTAAGGGCACTGAGACCCTTATTGTAGGTTATGTATCATCTCCTCTTTGGCTATGAGGTGTGTAGTTTTGTTAACTAGAGACATCAGTGAGTTCAGTTTCTGAGACCAGTCATTTAATAAATTATTTGGATCCTTGGGTCTCTGGAAGTTGATAATTCCTGCCAACCTGTCTACTTTAGCAAAGATGGTCTTGTTAACTACTAGATTTGAAAGAAAAGCTTCTGACTCCTGCAAGAGAGAATGAAAAATTGGATTAAGATAGGATAATTACAGACAATAAACAAAATTTAAGGAAAGCATTTTTGAACTCTTCACCCAAGAATATGCAGTGCTAAAATTCACTACGCATAAGTAAGCAACTCTTGACTTCCTGTAATAATACACTTAGTGTACTATGAGTCTAGGAGATAAATAGCCTCTAAGTCTACTCAGAATCAGGGTAGAGTTTGAATCTGCCTCCTTGCAAACTCAACAATGCTGGTTCTGCTCCTGCCAACAGCCCCTTGGTCCACTCTTGGTCTACAATGTTTCCCCCTAACACATCATATAGATAATTTGTTTCCAGAAATGCTGGGTTACAATGTGTAATCTCTGCCACTGGCAACTACATAGCCAAGGACAAGTCACTTTATTCTAAGGACTCTGGTCCACTGGTCCAGAAAGGAGAGGAGCTATTGAGCCAACCAAGGATTAAATTTTTTACCTCTAACACCCGTAATTCTTCCTTCTTCAGCTAAACTGATAAACTGTCTCATGACAGAAATGGCTTCTAGATCACCTCACTTAACCCCTACCTCTGTGGTGAGTTATACATTCCACCAGCAGGAACCTAGATCTGAACACAATATTTCTCTAACTTGACCTGGGACCTCTGCAAGGGAAGTGTAGTGAAGTCTCCTTCACAGTTTCTATTTCTATGGTTCATTCCTGGGACCCTAGACATATTTGTTTTTTTTTTTTTTCTAGACAGATTTGTTATAGAAATACATACCCAACTGCAGATGAAATGATGTAAAACTATCATATTTAAGTAAAGATTTTAACTAGGACACATAATAGTAATGTAACTATAAACTTGATATTTGGGCTATTTTTGGGTACTCAAGATAGCCTGGGGAAACTTTGTCACCTTAACTTAAATAATAAAGCAAAATTGATTTTCTAATTCAATTTTTATAAGTCAGTTGATATTCAAAATGACTGGCTACAAACAACTCAAACTACTTACATCAACAGACAGATCGAGAAGCTGAGCCATCCTCTTCATTGTTATCCTGGTGTAATACTTCGCCATTATTCTAATATTCTGGGGAGAGGACAGAGAGCAATGAAGAACACCTAAGAGTCGTCAGTAAGGCTAAAAGCCCATTTGTTTTCATATTCAAATAGGTTTAGTTAAAATGTCAAATTCAGAGCTTTTCTTTTTCTTTTCTTTTTTTTTTAATTTTTATTTATTTATGATAGTAACACACACACACACACACAGAGAGAGAGAGAGAGAGAGAGAGAGAGAGAGAGAGAGAGGAAGAGACACAGGCAGAGGGAGAAACAGGCTCCATGCACCGGGAGCCCGACGTGGGACTCGATCCTGGCTCTCCAGGATCGCGCCCTGGGCCAAAGGCAGGCGCTAAACCGTTGCGCCACCCAGGGATCCTCAGCTTTTATTTTTCTATAGCTGACTGCTGGCATGAAGCTGGTTCTCAATTTCAGTAACAAAGCAAAATTTAGATACTTTGGTTTCTGCAGTTTTGTAAGTTACTCTGAATACTATCCACAACTCTTTTAAAATACATATAGTCAAACCCTAGGCTTATCTTAACTAAAATAATGGTTAAAAACTAATGTACTAAAATGTTTTTGCTAAATCCAAGAATCTAAAATTAAAATTTCCTAATTATGATACAAATGTTTATTTTTATTTTTTAAAAAAGATTTTATTACTTATTTATGAGAGACAGAGAGAGAGAGAGGCAGAGACACAGGCAGAGGGAGAAGCAAGCTCCATGCAGGGAGCCTGATGTGGGACTCGATCCTGGATGTCCAGGATCAGGCCCTGGGCGGAAGGTGGTGCTAAACCACTGAGCCATCTGGGCTGCCCGACACAAATGTTTAAAAGGCTGATTCAAAAAATGAGAGCATCTCAAAACACGATGTTATCATCATTTTAACTACTGAAAGGTAACTTGAAATTAAATTTCCTAGTGTACACTGGAAGTGGTTCCCTTTATCATTATTATTTTAATTCTTTATTTATTTTAGAGAAAGAATGTGGGGGGTAGGGGTGGAGGGAAAGGGAGACAGAATCTTGAGTAGACTCCTTGTTGAGCTTGGAGCCTGGACAATCCCATGACCCTGAGATCATGACCTGAGCTAAAATCAAGAGTGGGCTGCTTAACCAACTGAGCCACTGTTCCCTCCCTTTATTCTTCCTTGTTATTAACAAAACAGCAGCATCACAAGAAAAATGGGGAACAGTGGGGAGAGAAAATGAACCGATGTTTGGAGAAGCTGTCCCTCCTCCCATCTCTCTCAGGGTCCACAGCAACACACTTCTTAGGAAGCAGCACAATCATTCTAGACCCCTTTTTTATCCTTTAAATTTAATCAACGACTAAATTCTATTTATTTTCTTTATTAAAAATAACTCCATCCCATCTATCCCTCAGCTACTGCCTTGACAGAAGCCCACAGGAGCCTTCACTTACTCTCAGCTCCATTCCTGTCTCTCCCCCAAGTGCATTCTCCACACTGACTGCCAGAGGAGTCTTTGTAAGATGCAAGCCTGGTCACTGTCCTCTCAGGTCAAAGTTTCCACTACTGCAGTATATAAACTTTGTGAAGTTCCAGACCCTTTCCATATCTCCGACTTCCTTCTTCACTGATCCCTGTGTTTGGAGGCACTTCTGTTCATCCTACAGGTTTGTTGTCTCCATGCCCCTGCTCAGACTACGGCATCTGTCCGCTCACCGGGCACTCTTCTTACAAATCTTACCTCCTCTGTCAATTTCTGCAGATCTAGCCTGACCTTTCTTTTCTTTTTAGGATTTTATTTTTGGGGCGCCTGGGTGGCTTGGTTGGTTAAGCATCTGTCTTTGGCTCAGGTCATGATCTCTGGATCCTGGGATCAAGTCCCTCATCGGGCTCCCTGCTCTACAGGGAGCTGCTTCTCCCTCTTCCTGCCACTCTGCTTAGTTGTGTGCTGTCAAATAAAGAAAGCCTAAAAAACAAAACAAAACAAAACAAAACACACACACACACACACACACATATGTATGTATTTTAAGCAATCTCCACCTCCGACATGGGGCTTGGACTCACAAGATCAAGAGTCTTGATCCTGGACCCTGAGATCAAGAGTATGCTCCACTGATTGAGCCAGCCAGGTGTCCCCCTTTCAGGTAGAACCAATCAACTCTACTTATGCTGCACTCCATTTGATATATATTTGTACCCTAATATCTAGAATACGTTTACTTTTTTTTAAAAAAAATTTTATTTATTTTTTTCTGGGAGACACAGAGAGAGAGGCAGAGACACAGGCAGAGGGAGAAGCAGGTTCCCTGCGGAAGCCCGATGTGGGACTCCATTCCAGGACCCTGGGGATCATGACCTGAGCAAAAGGCAGACGCTCAACCAGTAAGCCACCCAGGTGCCCCAAATACTTTTACTTATAAATCCATCTTTCTTGGGATTTAAAATCTTAAAAAAAAGAAATCCATCTTTCCCTATGACTTATTTTTAAGCTGTCTGAAGGTAGGGACCACGTCTCACTTTCCCATATGTTCCAGCATATTTGTACAGTGCCTGGTACATAGAAAGCTCATAATACATATATGTTTGCTATGTGAATGAATGCTGAAATAATTCCATTTATAGTGATACCAAGAAGATCAAAGATCAGGTTTAAGACTTGTTACCCATTCCCAGAACTACCAAGCAAGCAGCAGATAGAAAGAGCAACTTTCTTTTCTTTTCTTTTTTTTTTTTAAAGATTTTATTTATTTATTCATGAGAGACACACACAGAGAGAGAGGCAGAGACACAGGCAGAGAGAGAAGCAGGCTCCATGGAGGGAGCCTGATGTGGGATTCGATCCCAGGACTCCAGGATCACGCCCTGGGCCGAAGGCAGGCACCAAACCGCTGCGCCACCCAGGGATCCCAGAAAGAGCAACTTTCACCCACAACCATCCCACCACTCATTCTTAAGAAATTCCTTCTGGTTTATATGATGTAACTTTTTTTTTAAGGATTTTATTTATTTATTCATGAGAGACACACAGAGAGAGGCAGAGGGAGAAGCAGGCTCCCTGAGGGACGTCAGAAGTGGGACTTGATCCCCGGACCCGTGGATCATGACCTAACCCAAATGCAGACACTCAACCACTGAGCCACCCAAGTGTCCCTATATGCTGCAACATTTTGAATTCTTTTTTTTTTTTTTTATTTTATTTTTGGGACGTCTGGGTGGCTCAGCAATTGAGCATCTGTCTTCTTTTGGTTCAGGGCTTGATCCCAGATTCCTGGGATGGAATCCCACACTGGCCTCCTTACATGGAGCCTGCTTCCCCTCCCCTGCCTGTGTCTCTGCCTCTCTTTCTGTGTCTCTTATGAATAAGTAAATAATCTTTTTAAAAAATTAAAATAAAATAAATTTTATCTTTTTTTATTTTTTTAAATTTATGATAGTTACAGAGAGAGAGAGAGGCAGAGACACAGGCAGAGGGAGAAGCAGGCTCCATGCACCGGGAGCCCGATGTGGGATTCGATCCCGGGTCTCCAGGATCGTGCCCTGGGCCAAAGGCAGGTGCCAAACTGCTGCGCCACCCAGGGATCCCTAAATTTTATCTTTTTAAAGATTTTATTTATTTATTCATGAGAGACACAGAGAGAGAGAGAGAGAGAGAGAGAGAGAGAGAGAGAGGCAGAGACACAGGCAGAGGGAGAAGCAGGGTCCATGTAGGGAGCCCGATGTGGGACTCGATCCCGGGTCTCCAGGATCATGCCCTGGGCCGAAGGCGGCGCTAAACTGCTGAACCACCTGGGCTGCCCTAAATTTTATTTTTAAGTAATGTCTACACCCAACGTGAGGCCTGAACTGATACCCCAAGATCAAGAGTCACGTGCTTTACTGAGTCAGCCAGGCACCCTTAAAATTTTGGATTCTTGAGAGGTCCCTTCAAAATAAGAATGCTAAAACATTGTGGGTTTTTGTTTTTGTTTTTCCTGAAAAGCCAAAAATAAGGGAATAGGGTGGGGGGAAGTAAGAGGGATAAGATAAATTCTGATACATTTTGGGAAATACACAAACAACACTGGGAGAACAAATTTACACTACTATTACCCTGAGCATAGCAAAAAAAAAACCTCCAAAACAAAAAAACCTAAAGCAAAGAATTAAAGATATAACCTCCAAAAGAAACATTTGACTGTCACACTTGAAAATTAAAAGTTTGTGGTGGAAATCACCCCAGTTCACTTCTGGGCCGGCACTTACATGTTCCACGACTCTGTTCTTTAAGTCTGTCCACCTCCTTTCGCCTTCCTCTGTAGAACCAAAAACATCAGTCGCTGGACTCTCAAGAGACCCTTTCCTTAACTCCATCCCATAGTCTTCAACAAGGGTGGACCAACGCATGAGCTCCATTGTAGTAAAGAGTTTTAAAAGATCCCTGTAAATTGTATAAAACTTAATATTCCAAATCTGGAAAAACGTAACATAAGGTAATATAACGGCAAAAGTTTAAATATTGGCAAAGATCGTACTTGTAAGTTCTTATTTGTGAAACAAAATATAAGTTGATTATTATTTATTTACTGCCATTTTTTCCACAGCAGTTCTGAATGGAGCATTCCTCTACTTAACATTCTGCTCCCTCCCACAATGTATTTGCCAGTCTCTGGAATAATTAGCATAAGCTTACCAATGAGACAGATAAAAGAAAAACAGCTTTTAAGAACTAAAAGCCCACTGTGTGTAGGAAGTGTATGTCTGTTTTATATAGTATAGACTTCTGAAAATCACTAAGCCCTAAACTACTAAAATTTTATCAAATGATTAATAACCAAAAGCTGCTAAAGTGAGCTTGAAATGCAACTTCTATCTGACAAGTGGTCCATTTTAGGTTTTTATTTTTTTATTTTATTTTATTTATTTATTTTTTTTTAAAAAGAAAGCTCACACCCAGTGGAGCCCAATGTGAGGCCCAAACTCCTAACCCCTAGATCAAGACCTGAGCTGAGACCAAGGGTCAGATGCTTAACTGACTTAGGTACTTAGGTGCCCCTTGATAAGTGGTTTCAGAATGAAGTGTGTTATAACCTCATTAATTTCTTTTTAAAAAATTAATTAACTTGTTTATTATTCATGAGAGAGGCAGAGACACAGAGGGAAAAGCAGACTCCCCATGGGGACCCCAATGTGGGACACAATCCCAGGACCCCAGGATCACAACCTGAGTCAAAGGCAGACGCTCAACACTGAGCCACCCAGGTGCCCAGTCTCATTAATTTTTAAAGCAGCATGACAAAACCATTTCACTACTCTATAATCTCTAGTTTTATTCGCCAATACAATCTATCAGCAACCAATTAAGCAGATGTACACTTAGGTTAACCAATTTTCCTTCAAATGGTGTTTCTGCTGAGATGTACTACACTAGCTATAAAAGTACTTACTTGTATTTAGGAATTTCTTCTAACTTCTTGTCACCACTTATTCGGTGAACCAAATCTGACTGTTCGTTGTCAAAAGGAGCCAAGATCACATAGAGGACAACACTTTTCAGAGCCTAAAAACGTTGTATAACACAGTGGATCATAAGCAAGCTTAGAAACAAAGTGGAGACTCTGGCAGGAACTAAAAAATCATGAGAGAATTGTCTATATTCATGTTTGATATTATACTCAAAAGTCTTAGGGAATGATCCTACCAAGCTGCCTTTTACAGTATCTTCCTGTCATATTAAATTTCTATGAAACAACTACAGTAAATCTTTGCCAATCTATATTACTACCTGGGCTAACATTTTTTGGAGCGAGATATATAAAGGAAAACTCCTTGTAACAAGTTAGCAGCACAAACATGGAACATACATACAAATGATTTGAAACAGTTTTGTGAAATAATTTTCCAAAGTAATGCTAGGTCTCTACCTGTAACCTTTGTTAGCATGTGACCTGCTATACATATTTTACTTTATTTTTTTTTAAAGTAATATCTACACCCAACATGGGGCTTGAACTCAAAACCTCCAAGGATCAAGCATCGCACGATCTATGAACTGAGCCAGCCAAATGCTTCTGCTACACGTTTTTTTTTTTTTTTAAAGATTTTATTTACTTAGAGGGAGAGAAAGAGAGAAAGTAGGAGGAAGGGGAGAGGCAAGGAATCTCAAGCAGATCTGGAGCTGAGTGTTGAGCCTGATATGAGGCTTGATCTCATGACCCTGAGATCATGACCTGAGCTGAAATAAGAGTAGGATGCTTAACCGACTGAGCTACCCAGGCATTGCCCTGCTATACATACTTTAAACAGTAAGGCTGCATTCTTCGATAGTGATAAATAATTTAGAATATTGCCACAGTTCGTTTGAGTCAGTAAAGATAAACTATCAATACACTGACTAGAAAGCAGTACCATATAACTGCATATGATTACTGAAGTTAAAAATCACTTCAAAATAAAAAACGCAAATTCTTCCTAGTAAATATTAATATCAAGTATAAGAAAATATTCTTACCTGTTGCCACTTTTCACTTTCTGCCTGTATACAGGGAGTATCATATATTGCTCTGTAGTGCTTACAAATAGACAAATAGGATCCCTCATGTTGATCCAGCTGAATCATTAAGTTATAATATTTCAACTTTAATTTCTGAAAAAAAAGTTGATAAAATAAATTGCGGCTTATGGGTCTTTTCTAAACACATCTAAAGTAAACTTGCAGTAAGAGATATGCTTACCTCTGTATTTTCTTCCTGGAAAAATTTGGTGTTAATTTTCTTGCTGATGATTTGTGTACGAATGTAATCCTTCACAGCTAGGCAGAGCCTCATTTGCTCCAAAATAAACTCCACTCGCTCTTTCTTTTCCATTGACCCATAGGTTTCCACCTGGCCAAAGTAAGACCCCAAATAAGTTTATATTTGGTAATTTCTAAAAATTGCAAAATTAAATGTATTAAAATATTCACACCTATCAAACAATAAGAACCTTTTTTGCATACTGGGAGAATGTTGATGATGATATAAAAAGCTAATTTCCTCCAGGAAATTACAGTAAAAAAAATTATATAGGAAAATGGATATTTTTTCTTCTGACATAAAAAGTTCTGTGAATTTAAGCATATGCACAGACTTGTTTAGCTACCATCACAATCAAGATACAGAACAGTCTATCACCCCTAAACTAAGTCCCTCATTTGCCCCTTTGGAGTCACATACTTCTGCCAGTCAGAATGACCTGTTCTCCATCACTATAGATTTGTTTTTCATGAATATGAAACACAGTATGCAATCTCGAGTCTTTTTGCACTCAACATAATGCTTTGAATAGTAAAGATTCATCTAAATTGTTATGTATATCAATAGTTCATTCCTTTTATTAAAGATTTTATTTATTTATTTGAGAAAGAGAGTGTGCATGCACATGAGTGAGAGAATGGGCAGAGGGAGAGGGACAAGCAGGCTTCCAGCTGAGTGGGAAGCCTGATGTGGGCCTTGATCCCATGACCCTGAGATCCTGACCTGAGCTGAAGGCAGACCCTTAACCGACTGAGCCACCCAGTGTCCCTAGTTCATTTCTTTTTATGGCTAAGTAGTACTCCATTGTGTGGATGAACCAGTTTAACCATTCACCTGAAGGATATCTGGGTGGATTCTATTTTTTTTTTTAAATCTGTGTCCTGCCCCCCCCCCTTTTTATCATGATTCCATCTTGTGCCCATCATGAACAAAACTACTCTGAACATCAGTAGATAGGTTGAGTGTGAACTTCAAGTTTTCATTTCTCTTGGGCACCAGGAATTGGTATTGCTGGGTCATTTGGTAAAGCATGTTTAACTTTGTAAAAAATAGCCAAATTGTTTTCCAGCGGCTGCACCACTTTGCATTCCTATCAGCAATGGATAAAGGTTCTCATCACTTTGCAGCGCTGCTGGCACTTGGTTATAAACAGTATATATATTTTTAATGTTAGCTATTCTAATAGGCATGTAGGAGGGGATCCCTGGGTGGCTCCGCGGTTTAGCGCCTGTCTTCGGCCTAGGGGCGTGATCCTGGAGTCCTGGGATCAAGTCCCACATCAGGCTCCCTGCATGGAGCCTGCTTCTCTCTCTGCCTGTGTCTCTGCCTCTCTCTCTCTCTCTCTCTCTGTGTCTCTCATGAATAAATAAAATCTTAAAAAAAAAAAGGCAAAAAAAAAAAAGGCATGTAGGGGTATCGCTTGTGGTTTTAATTTGCATTTTCCTCATGGCTAGTGAGGAAATTACATTCATTCATTCATTCGTTTAAAGATTTTATTCATTTATTCATGAGAGACACAGAGAGAGGCAAAGACATAGGCAGAGGGAGAAGCAGGCTCCATGCAGGGAGCCTGATGTGGGACTCCAGGATCATGCCTTGGGCCAAAGGCAGATGTTCAACCACTGAGCCACCCAGGCATCCCTTTTCTTCAAATTTTAATTTAAATTCTAGTTAGTTAACATACTTGGGAGCAGGAAATTACAATTTCTTTTTTGAAATTACAATTCTTCTTTTAAAAAATATTTTATTTATTTATTTGAGAGACAGCGAGAACACATACCCATGTGCAAGCATACCCATGTGCAAGCACACACATGAGCAGAGGGAAAGGGAGAAACAGATTCCCCACTGAGCAGGGAGCCTGACATGGGGCTCGATCCCAACACCCTGGGATCATGACATGAACTGAAGACAGACGCTTAAGCAACTGAGCCACCCACGTGTCCCAAAAATTACAGTTCTAAACACACGAAAGGATACCACTTGTAGGTTTTCTATTTACAAAACAAAAAATTACAGGAAAAAGAGGTGCTAGTCTTTTTAAAATTCAAATAACATGGCTGATATAACTCCTAAAGGATATAGAAATGTAGAGTTATAGTAAATACACAACAGATGCAAAATAGAAATTCAATTACATCAAATACTATGAGAAACATTTTTTATGAGAAACATTTTTAATTTAATATTTGGCATACACATTGCAAATGAATTTATAAAATGTAGAATGGCAAAGCAGAAAGAAGGATATTTCATTATTATTATTAGGTCTGAAAAAAGGTTTTTATTTCACTGTCTTCTTTGTAATTTTTGTTAAGGAAAATAAAACTTTATGCAATGAGCCATCAATGTTTCATTTATGAATCTTTACCCACTCTCCATGTGTCAATTACTTTGTTTTTTTTTTTTTAAGATTTTATTTATTCATGAGAGAGAGACAGAGAGAGAGAGAGAGAGGGGCAGAGACACAGGCAGAGGTAGAAGCAGGCTACATGCAGGGAGCCTGATGTGGGACTCGATCCCAGGTCTCCAGGATCACACCCTGAGTCAAAGGCAGGCACCACACCGCTGAGCCTCCCAGGGATCCCCATGTCAATTACTTTGAAGTAAATTTTATTTTTTTATTTTTATTTTTTTTTTAAAAGGGCTCTCAATTAGGTTCATTATTTATTTATTTATTTATGATAGTCAGAGAGAGAGGCAGAGACACAGGCAGAGGGAGAAGCAGGCTCCATGCACCGGGAGCCCGACGTGGGATTCGATCCCGGGTCTCCAGGATCGCGCCCTGGGCCAAAGGCAGGCGCCAAACCGCTGCGCCACCCAGGGATCCCTGAAGTAAATTTTAGACATATATTTTAGTATGTGTCTCTGACAGATAAATATTGAAAAAAAAATCTAAAAATTCCTTTTATCACCAAATACCTAGTCAGTCCCCAATATCTATCTCATTTATTTTAATTAAATAAGAATCCACATGAGGCTCCTACTTTGCAATTGATAAATAGGTTTCTTAGGGCTCTTTTTCCTTGCCATTTATTTGTTGACAAAATCAAGCCAATCATCCTACAGTTTTATAGAGTCTAAATTATGCTGATTGCATCCCTGTGGTATCATTTAATAGGCTCCTCTGTCCCTAGCATATCCTGTAAACTGGTAGTTAAACCTAGAAGCTTTACATAATTGAGGTGAATTTTTTTTGGCAAGACTATTTCAGAGGATGTTGAATCATGAGGCATAATCATCCTAGTTGAAAATAGGGTTTGAAGGCAAAACTATGGAGACAGTAGAAAGATCAGTGGTTGCCAGGGGTTGGGATGGGAAAGAGGGAGGAACAGGTAGACCAGAGAATTTTTAGGGCAGTGAACCTATTTTATATGATACTACATTGATGAGTACATTTGTCAAAAATCCGTGGAATATACAACACAAAGAGTGAACCTTAATGCAAACTATTGACTTTCAGTGATCTCATGTCAATGTAGGTTCATCTATTTTAACTAATGTACCACTCTGGTGTGAGATGTTGGTAGAAGGGGAGGGAGAGAGAGGAGAGAGAGAGGGAGAGAGAGAGAGAGAGAGAGAGAGAGTGTGTGTGTGTGCATGTGCGTGCACGCGCATACATGCATGTGCATGTTGGGAGGGGGACAATGGAGTATATGGGAACTCTCTGTACTTGCCACTCAACTTGGTTGTGAACCTAAAAGTGCTCTAAAAAATAAAATCTGGGGATCCCTGGGTGGCTCAGCGGTTTGGGGCCTTTGGCCCAGGGCGCAATCCTGGAGTACCGGGATTGAATCCCGCGTCGGGATCCCGGCATGGAGCCTGCTTCTCCCTCTGCCTGTGTCTCTGCCTCTCTCTATCATAAGTGAATAAATAAATCTTAAAAAAAAAAAAACATTAAAAAAAATAAAGTAAAATAAAATAAAAGAATAAAATAAAATAAAATAATAAAATAAATAAAATAAAATAATAAAATGAAATATAAAAAAATAAATCAAATCAAATCAAATCAAATCTTCTGGGCAGCCCCGGTGGCTCAGTGGTTTAGTGCCGCCTTCAGCCCAGGGCATGATCCTGGAGATCTGGGATCGAGTTCCATGTCTCAGGCTCCCTGCATGGAGCCTGCTTCTCCCTCTGCCTGTGTCTATGCCTCTCTCTCTCTCTGTGTCTGTCATGAATAAATAAATAAAATCTTAAAAAAAAACAAAAAGAAAGAAAAAAATAAAATCTTCTAATCAAAAAGAAGAAAAGAAAAAAAAACAAAAAGAAGAAAAGACATCTGAAGCTAAATTGAACTAGTATGAGTCTAAACTTTACCACTTCTTGGCAATGACTTAAGGCACGTTACTTAATCCCTTTGAGTTTGTTTCCTTGGCAGAAAAATGGGGATAAAAATAGTGCTGTGCATGAACAGTGAATAAGATAAAGTGTACAGAGAACACAGGACATTAAAAAAAAAAAAAAGACAATGCATAGCACACAGAATCTTCTCAGTGTTATTTTTCCCCTTCCTTTAACTAAAAAATGGTACATGACTGAAAAATCAGAATAAGCAATTTAACTTAATAAGGAAACCATGATAAGCCAAAATTACAAGGAAAATTTTGAGTGTATTTCAGGTACTTTTTTTGGGGGGTGAGTCTATGGTTTTTCTCAGATTTCTTGGTTCTTTGCGGTCTAATTTTAAGATCTTTCTTAAAAACCTGTCCTGGGGGGGGGGGGGGGACCTGTCCTGAAACATGGCAAATTATGAGGCAATGTTTCTTTGTTAAAACAATTTAGCCTAGAAATTGACTGCCAATCAAATATTTGTTAAGAACGAAGCCAATGATTACCAGTGATTCCCTAAGGCATAAATAGTACATGAATTACTAATTCTATTTAAATTCTAAAGAGAATGAAAGTTTTCAAATAGCACAAAATCAAGACTAATGCATCGATTCTAACTTTTCTTCAAAATTCTTTTAGCAGTTAAATTTAGTCAGGACCCTAATTACATAATTTTCAGGTACCTGAATAAACTCATATTCCACTGCACTGACTCTTAATCTTGATAGTTTTGAAAAAGTTTAAAGATGCCAAAATAAGCTATTTCCATAAGACACACTGCCGACTAAATATAAAGATTCTCATTCTAAATGCATCTCCTTACCTGTAATTCTTGTAAAATGGAGGCTGCCTCTTTCACGTCACCATTTTGCTCTTTTATAGTTGCTAATGTCTTAGTCAGTCGAGCACGTTCAATTTCAACATAAATCTACAAATATGAGAAATTTATATTATCAAAATTTCCATAGAAATGTGTTAACATTTAAAGATACAGTTGAAAAAAAATAAAAAAAAAAATAAAGATACAGTTGAACTATTATTCAAGTAAGCCTAATGGTATTTATCATGCAGTTATTGTGTACTTTATCCTCTTCGTACAAATACAACTGTGTGACATTTTACATTTCACAATTACATAATTAAAAAAAATTTTTATTCATTTGAAGGGAGGTGCACATGCTCATGCATGCCCAGGGAGGAGAGGAAGGGGGGGAGGGAGAGAGAAAATCTAGAGCAGATTCCCCACTTAGCACAGAGCCTGACTCAGGGCTTGATTTCATGACCCTGAGATCATGACCTGAGCAGAAATCAAGAGTTGGACACTTAACCAACCTAGCCACTGAGGTACCTTCACAATCACATATATTTTAAGAACATTATTCATATTTTGTAGCTTTGCTTCAAGCACCTAAATATGAAATCACTGTGTTTAATGGATAACAGAATCCTAAGCTATATTAAATAGCAGAGAAAATAGAACAGTGCCCTTAAAAGAATTATTTGAGGGGTGCCTGGCTGGCTCAGTTGGTAGAACATGTAACTCTTGATCTTGGGGTCATGAGTTCAAGCCCCACATTGGGTGTAGAAGTTGTTTAAGAATAATAGTAATATAAAAAAAGAATAATAGTAATAATAATTAAATTAAAATATTTGATCTTGTTAAAGCTACCAGCATTTTTTGCAGTTATAAGTAATGTTAGTGAGTTTATATTTTCCAACAAATTAAAGATCAAAAATTTAACTATAGCCTAATGGAGTCTAGAGAACTAATTATCATGCTTAGGCTTGCTCATCCTTTTAGCCTTTGTTCTGTAACAACCCCTTTTCCCCAATCCACCCCAGAAAACCTTAATCTCCAAGAATAACAAACTACTTTTACATTCCTAAATGCCCATATGTTTCTTTTCTTTTTTAAAAGATTTTATTTATCTTAAAAAGAGAGAGAGAGAACAGGCATGAGCAGGGGTAGAGTGGGGGGACAGAGGAAGAGAGAAAGAATCTTAAGCAGATTCCCTGCTAAGTGGTGAGCTCAACTTGGAGCTCAATCTCATGACCCCAAGATCATGACCTGAGCCAATATCAAGAGTCAAACACAGCACAGTGACTATTTTTATGATGCATCTCTTTGAGGTGATAAAGAACAGTGTCATATTCATTCTGGATCTAGCACAACAGAGGTGTTTAATAAACATTTACTGAACTAAGGGTGCCTGGCTGCTGGCTAAATCAGTAGAGCATAAAACTCTTGATCTTAGGGTTGTGGGTAAAGCCCCACGTTGAGTGTAGAGATTATGTAAAAAAAAATAAAATAAAATCTTGGGGTGCCTGGGTGGCTCAGTCAGTTGAGCATCTGACTATTGATTTGAGCTCAGGTCAAGATCTCAGGGTCATGAGACTGAGTCCCATGTTGGGCTCCACACACAGTGGGGAGTCCGCTTGAGATTCTCTTTTCCTCTCCCTGTTGCCCCCCACCCACAAATGCTCTCTTAAATAAATCTTTAAAAAATAAATAAATAGGGGATCACTGGGTGGCTCAGCAGTTTAGCACCTGCCTTCAACCCAGGGTATGATCCTGGGGTCCCAGGATCGAGTTCCGCATCGGGCTCCCTGCATGGAGCCTGCTTCTCCCTCTGCCTATGTCTTTGCCTCTCTCACTATCTCTGTGTGTGTCTCTCATGAATAAATAAATAAAATCTTAAAAAAATAAATAAAATCTTTTAAAAAATTACTGAACTGTTAAGTTAAATATAAGCTTAGTCTTTATTTTCAGATCACAAACACCTGTCTAGAAAAAAATAATTTACTTTAGTCACCATTTCATACTTGTCTTTTTTAGAGAAACAGAAGATTAGGAGAACAAAGAGATCAAACTAAATACAAATACATTCTGGCAAGACAGTGAAATTTGTAAAATTAAACTTGCAACTATGAATACTCTATTATTTTTTTTTTTTAAGTAATAAGCTTTACAACCAACATGGGACTCAAACTCACAACTCCAAGATTAAGAATCACATGCTCTGCTGACTGAGCCAGCCAGGCACTCCAATATTCTATTAATTTAAATAGTAGAGTGAAACCTTAGTTATCCTAAGTATAGATTTCTCAAGCAGATCTAGGCCAGGGTGAAGAATTACCTTTATCTTTGATTCATTTTACATGTAAATATGGGGTAAGGTCCCTAATTCCTAGAAAAATCTGGATGTGTCAAGACTATGAATATCTGTTTATTTATTTTTAGATTTTTTAATCTATTTATTCATGAGAGACACAGAGAGGCAGAGACACAGGCAGAGGGAAAAGCAGGCTCCCCTCGCGGAGCCCAAGGTGGGACTCGATCCTGGGACTCCAGAATCACGCCCTGGGTCAAAGGCAGATGCTCAACCACTGAGCCACCCAGGCATCCCAAGACTGTGGCTATTTAATTACTTTCATTTGGGGGTGCCAGACTGGCTCAGTTGAAAGAGCATGCAACTCTTGATCTCCAGGTCATTAGCTCAAGCCCAATGGTAAGTGCAGAGATTACTTAAAAAAATCTTGGGGATCCCTGGGTGGCTCAGCGGTTTAGCGCTCAGGTTTTTTGGCTCAGGGCGCGATCCTGGAGACCCAGGATCAAGTCCCACGTTGGGCTCCTGGCATGGAGCCTGCTTCTCCCTCTGCCTGTGTCTCAGAGGCCTCTCTCTCTCTCTTGTCTATCATAAATAAACTAATCTTTAAAAAAAAATCTTTAAAATATGTAAACACAAATAAATATATTCATTTACATATGGGAAGATACTAGAAGGAAATATACAAAGATAATGGTTGAATCAAGGTGATGATCTACTTTGTCATTTTAAAATCTATCTATATATATAGATATAACATCTTCATAAATAAGTATCTCTGAATATAGAAAAGACAGGACTTCCCACTTTGAGTTATGCCAATGGAAAACTTACCTTTCCTTCTGTTACCATTCGCAGAGTATCAATTAACCGAAGTTTGATTGGAAGGTCCGTGATTTCCTCAACATAAGTACAACACTGTTGAACCATTTTTGCAACAGCCTAAAATATTAAAAAACCATTCATGAGTAAGATTCATTCCTCATACAATTAAAAAGAAGTATTTCAGGATGCCTGAGTGGCTCAATGGTTGAGCATCTGCCTTGGGATCAGGGCATGATCCCGGGGTCTGAGGACTGATTCCCTATGGGGAGCTTGCTTCTCTCTCTGCCTATGTCTCTGCCTCTCTGTCTCTCATGAATAAATAAATAAAATCTTTAAAAAAAAAAAAAAAAGGACATATTTCACTGAAGAAAATGCTATGTTCAAACCTAGTATTCCTAAGCAACTCTAGATCTCAGGGTTGTGAGTTCAAACCCCATGTTGGCTGCAGAGACTACTTAAGAAAATAAAATCTTTAAGAAATGAAATGGAATAAAATCAAGTAAAATAATAAAACCTTTAGGGGTGCCTGGGTGCCTCAGTTGGTTATTATTTTTTTTTTAGAGATTTTATTTATTTGAGAGAAAGTGAGAGCACGCACAAGCCAAGGGGAGGGGTTGAGGAAGAGATCCCACTGAGCAGGGATCCCCACACAGGGCTTGATCACAGGACCCTGGGGATCATAATCTGAGCGGAAGACATATGCTTAACCAACTGAGCCACCCAGGCAGCCCTGCCTCAGTTGGTTAAATGTCCAAGTCTTCATTTTGGCTCAGGTCATGATTTCTGGGTCATGAGATCAAGCCCCAAGCTGGGCTCCACACTGGGCATGGAACTTCCTTCAGATTCTCTCTTCCTCTCTCACTATCCCATCCCCCCTCACTTGTACTCTCCCACTCTCTCTAAAAATAAATAAATAAATAAATAAAATAATAATAGTAATGAAATAAAATCTTTAAAAAAGAGGAAGGGAGGACCAGGCTGGATCAGTTGGTAGAGCATGCCATTCCTGATTCAGGGTTGTGAGTTCAAGCCCCTTATTTGCTGTAGAGCTTGCTTAAAAAAATATTCAAAATGTCTCGGATAGCTAAGAAGTACTAAACACCCATTAATAACGCAAAAAGGTGGGGATCCCTGGGTGGCGCAGCGGTTTGGCGCCTGCCTTTGGCCCAGGGCGCGATCCTGGAGACCCGGGATCGAATCCCACGTCGGGCTCCCTGCATGGAGCCTGCTTCTCCCTCTGCCTGTGTCTCTGCCTCTCTCTCTCTCTCTGTGACTATCATGAATAAATAAATAAATAAAATCTTTAAAAAAAAATAATAAAATAAAATCTGAGAACTTGAAAAAAAAAATAACGCAAAAAGGTTAGGAAAATCTCAGATGGAAAGACGTCACCCCTCCCCACTACAAACAGCAAACTGATTACACAAAAGGGGTGTTGGAGGATGTCTATTAGAAGGCTTCCTAGCTAGCTTTTTTTTGGAGCCAAGCAAAAAAGCACAGAGGTTGTAGAAGATGAAAGGGAAGAAAAAAGAAGAGTTCAACAGTGGCTGTGAACACAATGAAGCCATAGTCAGCTGATAGTGTAAATGAAGAAAAGAGTCAGCGGCAGAGGCAGAAGGTTAAGCAGTTCCAGCCCCTGGGTAAGGAGGAAAAGCCATAGTCACCCATATTCCCCTCAATAAAATGTGACATTGAAGGGTCACAGTATCCCTGCCCAGGTTCCTCATAGATAATTTAAGCGGGTTGGACTACATTACCTCTAGCTCTAATTCTATCATCTAGGTCAGAGGTCAGCAAAATATTTCTATAAATTTTGGTAAATATTTACATTCTAAGTATTTTACACTTTGTGAGCCACAGGGTCTCTGTGGCAAGTATTCAGCTCTGCTTTTTTTTTTTTAAATTAATATCTGAGACTTTTTTAAAAAGATTTTTTATTTACTTCTTCATGAGAGACACAAAGAGAAAGAGAGAGGCAGAGACACAGGCAGAGGGAGAAGCAGGCCCCATGTAGGGAGCCCAATGTGGGACTCGATCCCGGGACCACAGGATCACGCCCTGAGCCAAAGGCAGACACTCAACCACTGAGCTACCCAAGCGTCCCTCAGCTTTGCCTTTTTTTTTAAAAAAATATTTTATTTATTTATTCATGAGAGACACAGACTGAGAGAGAGAGAGGCAGAGACACAGGCAGAGGGAGAAGCAGGCTCCATGCAGGGAGCGCAATGTGGGACTCAATCCAGGGACTCCAGGATCACACCCTGGACCGAAGGCAGGCGCTAAACCACTGAGCCACCCAGGGATCCCCTCAGCTTTGCCTTTGTAACTACAAAGCTACCAGACAATATATAACAAATGGATGGCTATGTTCCAGAAACATTATTTACAAAGTTAGCAGGTGGGATTTAGTCCACGGCCTGTAGTCTGCAACCTCTAATATAGATTCTTTTATTTTTTTTTAACATTTTATTTATTTATTCATAAGAGACACAGATAAGCAGAGAGAGAGAGGGAGAGACAGAAGCAGGCTCCATGCAATGAGCCTGCTTCTCCCTCTGCCTATGTCTCTGCCTCTCTCTCTGTGTCTCTCATGAGTAAATAAAATCTGTAAAAAATATATACATAGATTCTAAACATTGATCGATAATCAATTATCATAACCATTGAGAATAATAATTAGGACTCTTAAAAAAATAATTAGGACTCTGTCATCAAGAAAATACATATTTTAAGATATCAGAAAAGTAAACAGAGAATCTTGCAGTCAATTATACTTCAATCAAGCTAAAAAAAAAAAAAAAATCCCACGGTGTATCTTGCAAAGATTTCCTTGAAAAAGAATATTCATGGAGTTCAGGTCAAACTACTAATTATCTGGAAAACTGGATGTTCAGAGACAAAAGAGTTCCAAAAGGTGAAGGTTTTTACTGTAAAATATAACTCTTTCAATAAGTGTAAGGCTCTGGGACACCTTGTATCTCCCAAAGATCCCTCTAACACTCATTATAACAATGATTTCTAGAAGAGCATACAACTTAGTAATTCTAAAAGCCGTGCAAAAACTACATTAGCAGAAATCAGATGGGGTACAAGAAAAACAAAACAAAACAATCCCATCAATATTCTAACGGTAAGTGAACATCACGCTGCCACCTGAAAAAAATAGAAGTCATTAGGTAAGTCATGGTTGGAGTGAGGCTTACCCCCTGGGCTCAAGTGACAGACAGTGAATTAGAAACCATTAATTTTAAGCAATCTAGAAAAGGTTATTTTAAGAAAATCATTACTTTCTAAGTCTGATAAAGCAAAAAAGAAAAGTTTTAGGTAAAAAGTAATTATGGGAAAAGGAGAGGCACATTTTGAGTCCCTTAGCACTTTCCAGAGCTAAGAAGACAAAGTATGTCACTGCGGAAGGGGAAGTCCCCTGCAGTTGTGGTCATGCCATTAGCCAGTTGTGAGAAGGTTCAAACTCCTCTTTCTCCAGGAAGCCTCCCCTAACAAACCTAATCAAAACCTTCTCTTCCTCCTTTCATGTCTCCTTGCACCACTCACTACTTTTTGTCACTTACTATATATTGCTATCTGGGCATATAACTTCTTTTTCTTTTTTAAGATTTTTCTTTCTTTTTAAGATTTTATTTATTTATTTATTCGAGAGAGAGAGAGAGAGAGAGAGAGAGAGAGAGAGAGAAGCATAGAGACACAGGCAGAGGGACAAGCAGGCTCCATGCAGGGAGCCTGATGCGGGACCTGATCCCGGGTCTCCAGGATCCCACCCTGGGCTGAAGGCCGCGCTAAACCGCTGAGCCACCTGGGCTGCCCCTATTTATTTCTTAAAGAGAGTGAGGAAGGGGAAAAGCAGAGGGAGAGGGACAAACAGACTCCATGCTGAGCACAGAGCCTGATGCAGGGCTTGATCTCATGACCCTGACATCATTACCCAAGCTGAAATCCGGAGTCATCTGCTTAACCAACTGAGCCACTCAGGTGCCCTATGTGTGCGCCTTTTTTTTTTTTTTTTAAGATTTTAAATTTATTTATTAATGAGAGACAGAGAGAGAGAGAGAGAGAGAGAGAGAGAGAGAGAGAGAGGCAGAGATATAGGCAGGGGAAGAGAAGCAGGCTCCCTGCAGGAAACCTGATAGAGGACTCGATTCTAGGACCCCAGGATCACGCCCTGAGCCAAAGGCAGACGCTCAACCAGAGCTACCCAGGTGCCCCTGTGTATAACTTTTAAAAATAAATCACCCTTAGGGCACTTGCTAAAGATGTACTACCATTACTTGTGATTTATATTCTATACTGAACTAGAGGTTACCTGGCACATTTCTTCACTTTCCAAGAATCTTACATATAAATATTTGTTGCTCAGCAACAAAGAGGGACGTCTTGGTGGCTCAGCAGTTAAGCGTCTACCTTTGGCCCAGGATGTGATCCTAGAGTCCCAGGACTGAGTCCCACATTGGGCTCCCTGTGTGAAGCGTGCTTCTCCTTCTGCCTGTGTCTCTCTCTGCCTCTCTCTGTGTGTCTCTCATGAATAAATAAATAAAATCTTTAAAAAAGAAAAGAAAAGAAAAGCAACAGAGGGGATACCTGGGTGGCTCAGATAAGGTTAAGTGTCTGGTTTTGGCTCAGGTCATGCTCTCTAGGTCCTGGGATGGAGCCCCACATCAGGCTCTCTGCTCAGTGGGGGGTGCGGGTGGGGCTCCCTCTCCTCCTGTTCCTCCCCCCTGCTCGTTCTCTGTGTGTGTCTCTCTCTCAAATGAAAAAAAAAATCTTAAAAAAAAAAAAAAAAACCAAAAACAGAATTAAACAGTCCCTTCTGGTTCTCAAATGTTATAACTCTACTAATAATCTGTATTTTTGGATACCTGCTTTGAATGATACTAGTACCTAGTACTGTACAAAACACATATTGTTTATTTTAACCCAGGTTGCCTTGAAACACCTAAATAAGTTGCCCTTTCTAAACTGCCCCATGGAAAGTTAATTTCTCAGAAAATCAGAGGAAGACAATGGTTCATTTATGCCAGTCTCTCAGCTGACTCTATGATGGTCTCTCAAACCACAGAACTGAGCGGTAAAAGGCATATTTAAATGAATTGCACATTCAGATGTACTAGATTGCCTCAAATCTGTTAACTTCTTATTTTTCAGATCTTATTTGTAAGTAATCACTACACCCAATGTGGGGCTCAAATTCACAACCCAGAGATCAAGAGTCACACACTCCCTGACTGAGTCAGCCAGGTGTCCCCACGTTAATTACTTTTTTTTTATAAGTTATTCCACTATAACCAGGCTTTTATTTGTTTAAATGCTAGAGAATCTTTTTTTTTTTTTTTAAGATTTTATTTATTTATTTGAGAGAGAGCACATGCATGCATGAATTGGGGAGAGGCAGAGGAAGAGGGAGAAACACTCTCTGCTGAGCGGGGAGCCTGACTCAGGACTCCATCCCAGGACCTGGAGATCATAACCTAAGCCAAAGGCAGACTCCTAACCAACTGAGCCACCTAGGTGCCCCATTCTGCTTGAGATATTTAGAGCTGCCTAGATGGCTCAGTCAGTAGAGCATGTGACTCTTGATGTCACAGCCATAGGTTCAACCCCCACATTAGGCAGAGTTTACCAAACAAAAACAACAAAAACTCAAGCAAAAGAACAGGGAAAACAGTAAAGAAAATTTAGCTTCCCCAAAACTCCAAAAGAGAACGTACATAATCTTTAAACAAAATTAGTCAAAATAATGTCTGAAAAATGGCCTCAAAATAAACATTAAATGTTTAATAAAAGACATGACTAAGTAAATTACAGATTATCAATTTGATGGATTATAACACAATAATTTAAAATAATAAACATGGGGGTACTCAGGTGGCTCAGTCAGTTGAGCACTGGCTTCTGATTTCATTCAGCTCAGGTCAGGATCTCAGGGTTGTGAGATTCGTCAGGCTCCTCGCTCAGAGGGGAATTTGCTTGAAATTCTCCCCCCCAACTCCTCTTCCACATGTGCATCCTCCCCCCCCCCACTTTCTCCCTCTCAAATCTTTTTATTTTATTTTTATTATTTTTAAAAGATTTTATTTATCTATCATGAGAGACACAGAGAGAGAGGCAGAGACATAGGCAGAGGGAGAAGCAGTCTCCTCATGGGGAACCCGATGCAGGACTCGTCCCAGGACCTGGGGATCATGACCTGAGCCAAAGGCAAATGCTCAACCACTGAGCATCCAGGTGCTCCTCAAATCTTTTTAAATAAATTAATTAAATAATAAACATGAAGACATGGAGCAAGATGGAGACAGAAAAAAACTGTACCAACATTCAGCACAATTTTGTAAAAATATGCAAATATATAAAACTAGAAAAAAACTCATAAAAACAGCTGACATGAAAATATGGACAGAATTTTTAAAAACCGTCTAGAATGTAATGCTGATTTAACAGTAAATTTAAAACAGCTTCATAGAACAGTTTTCTAAAGTCCTTATTTAAATGCAAATGTAGTCATGAACTCACTTGTTTTAACTGACTCCGTCTTTTTGACAAAAGCATAATATTTTCATTAAGTAAATCCCATTCTTTAGCCTCATAGCACATTTTCACTACTGCAACTAAGATGCGGGATGTAGACACCATATCAGAAGCCTGTAGAAATGAAAATATACACAAGTTAATGGAACACTGTTAAATGAAATTCATGATAATTGAAGTTTTCACTATACTCTACTCACAGTACGGGTCTGTTTCTCCAAAGAGAGAAGGGTTTCAATGACTTCTTGAAGTCTTCCTTCCTAAAACAAAAGATATAAATGAACAATGAAAACATCACCATCAACACAAAACCAAATAAACTCATCTACAATGAAATGTTTCTGACACAGAAAAGAAAAAATCCATTTCAGAGGCAAAGGGCAACTACCACTAGCACTAGTGTTTTGGGTCTTTCCTTCTCTTGGCCATGCTAGCTTTTCCCGTGGATTACCTAAGTCAATGGTTCCCAAAGTGGGGCCCACAAGCAATTTTTAACATTTCAAAATGCCTATGAGAAACTGAATGTAGGACAATGATTTAACACCTGAAAAAACCATCAAGTTTTGGCTTTGGATTCTAATTGATCAATTCAGTGTGGTAACCAGATTATCTTGTTTAGAACCAAGATAGACTTGGTTAGACTCTTTGATGGCACTCACACGTGTCTTTCAAGAATAAAAGTGGGAAAAATGAGTTCATTATGAAGTTACCATAACAAATATTTTATTTTTAAAACTTTTTATTTTTATTTTTTTTAACTTTTTAAAATATATATTTTTAATTTATTCATGAGAGAGAGAGAGAGAGAGAGAGAGAGGCAGAGACACAGGCAGAGGGAGAAGTAGGCTCCATGCAGGGCGCCCGACGTGGGACTCGATCCCAGGTCTCCAGGATCACGCCCTGGGCTGAAGGCAGAAACTTAACCACTGAGCCACCCCATAACAGGCGTCCCCATAACAGATATTTTAAAACATGAAGTTTTGAGGAAAAATAAAAAGGATATTTGGTGGTAAAAAACCCAGTTTTTCAATAACTTTTTTAAAAACAAGATTTTATTTATTTATTAGAGAAAGAGCAAGTAGCACACAGAGTGGGAGAAGTAGATTCCCTGCTGAGCAGAGAGCCTGATGTGGGGCTTGATACTAGGGCCCTAGGATCATGACCTGAGCCAAAGGCAGGTGCAACTTAACCAATTGAGCCACCCAGGCATCCAACTTTTTTTTTTTAAGATTTTATTTATTTGGGTGACTGGGTGACGGGCAGTGAGGGGGGCACTTGATGGGATGAGCACTGGGTGTTATGCTATATGTTGGCAAATTGAACTTCAATAAAAAAAATTTTAAAAATAAAAAAAGATTTTATTTATTCATGAAAGACACACAGAGAAAGGCAGAGACATAAGCAGAGGGACACACACAGGGAGCCCAATGTGGGACTCGATCCTGAACTCCAGGATCATGCCCTCAGCTGAGGGCAGAGGCTCAACTGCTGAGCCACCCAGGCGTCCTGAACTTTTTTTTTAAGTAAGCCCTATGCCCAGAGTAGGGCTTAAACTCACAATCCCAAGATCAAGAGTCACCTGTTCTGCCAACTGAGCAAGCCAGGAGCCCTTAATTTTCAATGACTTTAAAAATAAATTGGGTAGCCCCAGTGGCCCAGCGGTTTAGTGCTGCCTTCAGCCCAGGGTGTGATCCTGGAGTCCTGGGATCGAGTCCCACATCAGGCTCCCTGCACGGAACCTGCTTCTCCCTCTGCCTGTGTCTCTGCCCCTCTCTCTGTCATGAATAAATAAATAAATAAATCTTAAAAAATAAAATAAATTATAATTGTGCTTAAAGGAAATGAAGACCACCTGAGAATATCCACACGCACTATACCAAAGGTCATACTTTTAAGCAGATACCCCTTTTTGTCAACTGACAGTAACCTCTATCTCGTATGCAAATACAGAATATTCCTCCTGGGGTGCACATTAGGAAATGGGAATAGCAAAATTCAAATGATATAAACCTAAATGATAATACACCAGGACTAAGATAAGCCATTCTACTAAGAACCACACATTGTAATCAAAACAAAACCAGCCCACAGCAAAAAAATTTCAAGTACTTACGATACTGATATTATTAACAATGAATGAATTGGAAGTGATAGAGGATTTTATTTTGAAATTGGTTTAACTATAAATGAAATTTTTATTATTTTTAATGATTTCATTTTTATTTTTATTTATTTATTTTTTTTAAGATTTTATTTATTTATTCATGAGACAGAGAGAGAGAGAGAGAGAGAGGCAGAGACACAGGCAGAGGGAGAAGCAGGCTCCATGCAGGGAGCCCGACGCGGGACTTGATCCCGGGACTCCAGGATCACGCCCTGGGCTGAAGGCAGGCACTAAACCACTGAGCCACCCAGGGATCTCCCAATGATTTCATTTTTAAGTAATCTCTATACCTAATGTGGGGCTCAAACTCACAACCCCAAGATCAAGAGCCACATGCTCCACCAAATGCCAGCCAGGTGCCCTGAAACTTACTTTATTTTAATGACATGCATGGATAGTACATTAGTACTATTCTTTTACTGAGGAAAGAAACTAACTAGTTTTTGAATTAAGGATACAAATAATGTTTGTACTTTTCAAAATATTCTTTATTTTCCAAGATAATGTTTATTTTTTTCTATTTTATTTATTTATTTATTTATTTATTTATTTATTTATTTATTTATTTATTTATTTATTTATTTATGATAGTCACAGAGAGATAGAGAGAGAGGCAGAGACACAGGCAGAGGGAGAAGCAGGCTCCATGCACCGGGAGCCTGACGTGGGATTCGATCCCAGGTCTCCAGGATAGCGCCCTGGGCCAAAGGCAAGCGCCAAACCGCTGCGCCACCCAGGGATCCCCAAGATAATGTTTAAACTGAATTTTCTATGGAGCACAGAATATGTACTGTACATCCATTATTTGAACTTTCTTTAACTCTAAAATCTGTATGATTACACTATAATTTAATCTTAAACATACATTACTAGCGTTGTAACAGTGTTTCCTATGCAAAGGGAGAGCATCAGTTAGGCAAACTCTATAGATTCATGTGTATGATAAATGCTGACTAAATGTCCATCAGAGGAAAAGAGGAAACAAATCCATAAATTTTCCAAAGTTAAAGCCTAACAAATCATAAAAGAACAAAGACTCTTGAACTGTAGACTGTTACAGATTACTAAATTCAATCACCTCATTCTAGAGTATACAAGGATTAAGGACCAAATAGTGCAGCCACAAAACTTAACAGCAGAATCAGAACCCAGGGCTCTAGCCTCCTGATTCAATGTTCCCTCCATTACACCAAACAATGCTAGTTTAAATCACACCTTTGTTTCCATCAAAGTAATTTCCATTAGGAAAATGGTTACTATCTGGCAACAAATATAGTACAAAAATAGCTAACATGCAAAATACCGTTCATTGATGGTCACCTGTCACTTTTGCAATTACTGTTAGTCTTGTGATCAAGAGTGTAGTTTATGGTATTTTAATTCAGAAGTATAGGTTTTATTTTTTTAAAGATATTGTTTATTTATTCATGAGAGACACACACAGAGAGAGGCAGAGACATAGGCTGAGGGAGAAGCAGGCTCCACACAGGGAGCCCGACGCGGAACTCGATCCCAGGACCCCAGGATCACGCCCTGGGCCGAAGGCAGGCTTGCTAAACTGCTGAATCACCAGGGCTGCCCAGAAGTATGGATTTCAAAGAACTGCACTCTACATGTGAAAGAATCACATACCACTCTCTTTTTTAAGATTTCATTTATTTATTCATGAGAGAGAGAGAGAGAGAGAGAGAGGCAGAGGGAGAAGCAGGCACCATGCAGGGAGCCTGATGTGGGACTTGATCCTGGAACTCCAGGATCACACCCTGGGCCGAAGGCAGGCACGCTAAACCGCTGAGCCACGGAGGCGTCCTGAATCACAAACCACTCTAGATATTAACAAAACATTAGTTGTCATCTTCTCAGGAAAGCATTCTTAAATAACTCTCCATAGTCAGCAGTTATTCAGTATTTCCTTCTTTAACTCACAAGCCCACAGACTTTCTGCTCTGTAATGACTCCAACATTTTTTCTGTTTTAACCTTTTATGGTCTTCCTAATCTCACTAGAATGTAAATTCTGTAAGAGCAGGGACCATGTCTATACTCTTCACTACTGCAGCTCAATGTTCTGCACCTGGCAAAGCACATAATGTTGCTTCCGTAGATATTATGGTACATCCCTTTATACCTTGAACCAGTTATTAATGTGCACCTCTGGTCTCCTAAGTGGTTTTAAGTTCCTTCAGGGCTGGATAGTGTCTGATCGTTTCCCATGCACCAACTTGTACATAGCATGCATTGAATGGCTTCACACTGACCAGAAACTATCAGATGATCTTAATGGCTCAGAATTCGTGATTCTTACTGTCACACTAAGTAGGATGTGATAAGTTACATGGCTGGTAATTCAGTGCTATTTGAGGGGTACTACTATCAACAAAATACTACTCCCAATTCTCTAATCATCCCACCTTTTTCTCCCATTCTGCCATGTCCAATGCTATGGCTAACCATCCTCCTCCTTTTTTTCCCTACCTATTCAGTTTTTGAAATTCCACCTCCTTGGAGCACCTGGGTGGCTCAGTCAACGAGTCTGCCTTCAGATTAGGTCATGATCTCAGGATCCTGGGACTGACCCTCACATCAGACTCCCTGCTCAGTGGGGAACCTGCTTCTCCCTCTCTCTCTGTCTCTTTTAAATAAATACATAAAATCTTTAAAAAAAAAAAAAAGAAAGAAAAGAAAAGAAAAAAAAAAGGAAAGGAATTCCACCTCCTCAATGCTGCCTTTCAACTCAGAAGAACGAGACAGTCAGAGCTACCAAAACTAAGCCAGTAGAACATGTGACTTTTGTGACTCATTTTCCTCATTAAAATAATCTTTGTGGGACCCAGGCTCAGCGGTTGAGTGCCTCCTTTCCGCCCAGGGCGTGATCCTGGAGACCCAGGATTGAGTCCCACATCCCCCACATCAGGCTCCCTGCATGGATCCTGCTTCTCTCTCTGCCTATGTCTCTGCCTCTCTCTCTCTCTGTCTCTCACAAATAAATAAATAAAATCTTAAAATAAATACAGATAAATACAAATAATCAATGTTCAAATGACTAAGGAGTTGTTCAATATCAATCCATGTTGGGTATCTCTAAGTTCTGTATGTTTGTGTCCTTTAACTTCTAAGTGGATCCAATCTTTTAATGATTTGTTAAATAACTTAAACAAGTAAGAAAAAGGCCAATGGTTGAAATTTAAGACCAATCCGATACTTTCACATAAACTATTTCTAAAAGAGTTTTTTGTCCAAGCTGCTAACAATAAAATGTTTTACATTTCACCTCTTCTTTTTTTTTTAATATTAACCTTAAGAAGAGGCTGTAGGTAACCAAATGAAAAGATAGGAAGATGAATGAAAGGATATATTCAATTTAAGAATGTAAATAATCGGGGTGCCTGGGTCAAGCCCCCAGTCTGCTCTCTGCTCAGCGGGGAGCCTGCTTCATCTCCCTCTGCCATCCCCACCCCTATTTGTGCTCTCTTTATCTCTGTATCAAATAAATAAAATATAAAAAATGTAAATAATTTCCAAATAACCATGTAACAATTATACCATAATCAAAAAGGAGGGGTGGGGATCCCTGGGTGGCGCAGTGGTTTGGCGCCTGCCTTTGGCCCGGGGCGTGATCCTGGAGACCCGGGATCGAATCCCACGTCGGGCTCCCGGTGCATGGAGCCTGCTTCTCCCTCTGCCTATGTCTCTGCGCCTCTCTCTCTCTCTCTCTGTGACTATCATAAATAAATAAAAATTAAAAAAAAAAAAAGCAGGGGTGGTGGTGGTGGTGATCCTCTGTGTATTAAGAACTGCTAAATACTACAGAGTTACAGTTCAGAAAGGCCCTCATTAGATTCACTAAAGAACTAATCACTATGGAGAACTAGTATCACTTTTATTTATTTGTTTATTTTAAAGATTTTATTTATTTATTCATGAGAGACAGAGGGTGGTGGGCAGAGACACAGGCAGAGGGAGAAGCAGGCTCCATGCAGGGAGCCTGTTGTGGGACTTGATCCTGGGTCTCCAAGATCATGCCCTGGGCTGAAGGTGGCACTAAACCGCTGAACTACCCAGGCTGCCCTAGTATCACTTTTATTATCTCACCAACCTCAAATGCCAGTCACTGAAGCAGCAGAATGTAATAGTTAAAAATGCAGGCTCTGCAGCCAGACTGCCAGGGTCTAAATCTCAGGTCTACCACTATATTACCTTGGGCATAACACACTTTGACTGTTAATTTTCTCTTCAGTGAAATGAGCATAATAAGAATTCCTGCCCCACAGAGTTGCTGTAAGAATTAAAGCAAAACCTATAAAGAGAGGCCTGGAATATATGTACATTATCATCATCACAACAGCTAACATTATATAGAAAGTACATGGCAATAAATATTAGTGACTGGTGTTAATTATTGAATGTTAGGTGAATGTTGGAACACAGAAACAGAACTGTATTAGATCATTGTAAGAGAATCGAATGGCCTAGATTTGGCAATTTCACCACCCAAGTCTAGACCTGGGTCTGTCTTTTGAAGGTTTCTGCTATCCGGGCTTCTTTTCTCACTGGGTACATTTTTAGTAAGTTTCTATACACATAATTTTTAATCTTCAAATGTCTTTCACATTAAAAATAAAAAATGGGGCACCTGGTGGCTCAGTGGTTGAGTGTGTCTGTCTGCCTTTGGCTCAGGTCGTGATCCCAGGGTCCTGGGATCGAGTCCTGCAGCAGGCTCCCTGCAGGGAACCTGCTTCTCCCTCTGCCTACCTCTCTGCCTCTCTCATGAATAAATAAATAAAATCTTAACATACGTACATAAAAAAAAAAAGTCTTAAGTAAGCGTAGAAGTAAGTCTCTTACAGAGGTCGTGGAATGTAGCAAAAGGAACACGACCTGTTGCCAGGAGACTTGAGCTTGACCTGGCTTGGCTATAGACCTTGGATACACCACTTAACTGCTGAACCTTAGTTTTCTCACAAGTAAAGTAAAAACAATAGAACTTTCTTCACTTTTATTGATGGGCTCAAAGTAAAACAATAAGAGTGTATGCTAAAGTGTTCTATACATTCCAATGTAAAAATACAATGCTTTAAATAGGTATTTTCTTTGTTTGGTGGAATGGTTAGAAAATATAAAATGATGAATAGGGATCCCTGGGTGGCGCAGCGGTTTAGCGCCTGCCTTTGGCCCAGCGCGCGATCCTGGAGATCCGGGATCGAATCCCACATCGGGCTCCCGGTGCATGGAGCCTGTTTCTCCATCTGCCTATGTCTCTGCCTCTCTCTCTCTCTCTCTCTCTCTCTCTCTCTCTCTCTCTCTCTCTCTGTGACTATCATAAATAAATAAAAATTAAAAAAAAATAAAATGATGAATAAAAGGCAAAACAAAGAATCAAACTTTAAAAGAAATTAAAATTAACTAGGATGGTAAGACAACCGTCTAATCCAAAACTTGAAAATTGTGGGTTTGCAATAAAAAACAAAAACAAAAACATACTCTGTCATCCCTCAGGCCTCTATCTGCCTCGTTCACAAAAGCAATTCACACCAGTACCTTGTTTTGTTCCACTGGCACACTGGATTAAAAAAAAAAAAAAATCCAAATCGCTTTAATTTTACCTCGTTTAACAAGCCCCAACTCTCCCTGTTTTAAACATTTCCATTATCCACCTATTTGATGCCTAAAAAGGTATTTGAGTTTGCAAGTCTTTTCAACTGTCTTGAACATAACCACAATGTCCTAAATAAATGCCATACATGTGATTACTACAACCGTAGCAGTGAAAAAAATTTTTTTTCTTACTGGCCTATAAGCTACCTGAGGGCAAGGGCTTTGTCTAATAATGATCTTTACAGTTCCCACAATGTCTAGCACTGACTAATGATAGGAGGCTATCAGAAGAAATCGGTAAAAGGAAGATTTTTTTTTCTCCCAGGTCTCAGTTCTAGGAATAGTTGTACTTCTTTAAAGCAAATGGTTTCTTCCTTTGGACACTAGCAATCTATTACATCCCAAGTGGTAGTTCAGAGGCTGACTTTGGCCTGTATGTATATTTTGTTTGATATATGTGGTATTGGTTCAAATAGTGCTTTAAACCAGATTAGTGCCAGTTTCTAAATATTGAGGCAATTCATATAAAAAAATCCAAATTCCTGGCTTCTCCCTCAAGAAGTTGACAAGGCTTGGCCTTCATCCCCAATTGGCAAAGATTAACTGGAGGTAAAGAGTTACTGCCCCCTTTCCCTGGACAGGTGCTCAGAAGTTCAAGTTTTCATTACATTTGGCTCACTAGGCAGGACAGCATGGTGAGAGCACAAGCTCCAGAATCAGTCTGCTTGGTTTGCATCCTGGCTCCACCACTTTACTAGCTGTATGACCTTGGAGCACGTGACTCAACTTCTCTTAGACTGTTTTCTTGTCTGTAAAATAAGAAGAAGAATAATACCTATCACATAGGGCTAAGGTGAGGACCGTATGAGCTAATGCATGTAAGCACTTAGAAGAGTGTCTGGCACGGTAGAAAGTACTCAATAAATGCCAGCTATTGTTATCTGCCTGGCCCTGTAGGTGTTTCCCAACTCCTACGTACAAGACGATGTTTTCTTTACACTAGCTTCTGGTATGTACATAGATGAATTTATGGTTCCCCTCCATCAAGTGTACTGAAGCTAAGAAATTCGGGTTATACCAACTTCATCATCTTTCCCTATCCCTGTTTTTTGTAAAGCCCCATTAAATGGGACGCCTGGGTGGCTCAGCAGTTGAGCGTCTCCCTTCGGCACTGGCCGTGATCCTGGGGTGCGGGACTGAGTCCCACACTGGGCTCCTTGCAGGGAGCTTCTCCCTCTGCCTGTGTCTCTGCCTCTCATGAATAAATAAATAAAATCATTTAAAAAAATACTACTGTGAGATAATACTTGACACTTCTGTCCCTGAATGTAGTACATTTCAATGTACTTATGCAGTAAGCCCCGGAAGGGACAAAACCAACTCTGTTATTTAGCACATGCGTCCCAGGTGAATAGCAACAAATACCTGTGGCTGGATCGATCAAGGAACTTAATGACGCCTGGGTGCAAGGACTCTTAGCAACAGCCCATGATGGGAGCTGATCTGACAACCATCCAAAGCCCCGTCAGACAAACCGAGTTTTGAATCCTCGGTTCCATTACCAACGACAACGTTCCACAAATAACTCCCTAAGCCTTGGTTTCTTTATATGTAAAAGGGTCCACAGAGCCGCCTGACACGTAGCAGGGAGTGTGATAAACACCAGGATCGAGTTAAAAGTTCTATTCCAGGGGAGATAATAAGCAGTTGGGCTAAAGCGCTGCTACCCCGCACTTCTGTCTTCCGGAGTTCCTGCTCCAGGAACCATTCCGCCCCATCCCAGTCTCTGTAAAACCTTCCCTTATCCCACCAGTAAGAAGGAGCAGCTTCCTTCTCTGTGTTCCAACAGCACTTGACAGGCTTGGGGGACACTCACCACCGCAGCCGATCGTCTAATTTCGCGATGTCTACCAACTCCTGAAGGGCAGGGGTCCTGTGCCGTTGTCCACCTTCGTCCCATCACTTTCCTACCCCTTCTCCTGGCTCAAGGCCAGGCACATCCCAGGATCCACACACAGCTTAACGACACGAGCAGAAGCACTCAACTCTCTGATCTAGCCTGGACGCTGACGCGGCCCTAACCCCCCGGGAAACTGCTAAAGTGCACGTTGAACGGGACCAAGAAAAAGGGGCCCCAGCTGCTCCGGGCAGTGGCCATCTGTCCCAGGGAAGGTTTGGGAAGCTGTATGCACTGGCGAACTCCCGCCGCGGAGCCGACCTGGGACCTCCTCCCCATGCAGCCCCACTCGGGCCGGGCAGGCAGTGGGGGACGCGCCCTCCAGCCCGCAGGCCCCCTGAGGCCTAAGCGAGCTCCGCGCCGTGACTCAGCCCTCGGCGCCCGCCAACAGCCAGCCGGCCTCCCCTCACCTTGGCCAGCTTCTCGCACTCGGGCAGTCGCTGATCCACTGTGGCGCTGTAGTCCACTTCCATCTTGACGATGCGCCCATCAGCCCGCTCCGAGCCGCCGTCCGCCATGGTCCCTGCCTGAACGTCCCTTGATGTCCCCCTGCTTCGGCCACCACTCGTCACCCACACCGGAAGCCGCCTGTGCACCCGCTCAGGCAGTGCGTCGGGAACCCGCCCGAAGGACCCCACGAGGCCCCCCTGCGCTGGCCGCCAGTCAGGCACTGCCGCGGACAGCCCTGTGGGCGGGGCCGTGGGCGGGGCCGTGGGCGGGGCCGTGGGCGGGGCATCCCTGCTTTGAAGTATTTCTTCTCAGAACCGTAGGCAAGTCGCTGGACTTTTGTTGGATCTCAGTGTTCTCATCTCTGCCTGAGCAGGCTGAAATCACCCCAGAGACAAAAAGTTCTTTATCAAGTTTCGTCTGGTTGAGAATCTTGGTGGTTTAATCGGTGGCATCTCTTAAAAGTCAAAAAGTGTGACAGCGGTTCAGTAACACAACAAGTATTTTTTGTTTGTTTTCATTTTTACTGTAATCCACTACGTGGGTGAGAAGAATCTTTATTTATTTTTTTTAAGAAGAATCTTTAAAAACACATTTACTGGCCTTTTTTTTTTTTACTTTTAAGATTGTATTTATTTATTTGAGAGAGAACTCCTAAAAATAAAGAGAGAGAAAGAGAGAACTCCTGCACAAAGGGAGAGCTCCTTATATGGGGCTCAATCCCAGGACTGTGAGATCATGACCTCAGCTGAAGGCAGATGCTTAGCTGACAGAGCCACCCAGGTGCCCCTTTACTGGCTTTCACTGTGGGACTCTTGGGAGCATCAAGCAAGATCATGTATGTGAGGTTATTTTAATTTTAATTTTTTTTATTTTTTTAAGGTTTTATTTATTTATTCATGAAAGACAGAGAGAGAGGCAGAGACACAGGCAGAGGGAGAAGCAGGCTCAATGCAGGGAGCCCGATGTGGAACTTGATCCCCCGACTCTGGGATCATGCCCTGAGCTAAAGGCAAATGCTCAACCCCTGAGGAACCCATGCATCCCGGTCATTTTAATTTTTAAGGACCGTACAAATGTTCATTTGCACCATCTAGGTTCCTATTAAAAAGTTTAGGATGGGGTCACCTGGGTGGCTCAGGGGTTGAGCATCTGCCTTTGGCTCAGGTCGTGATCCCAGGGTCTTGGGATGGAATCCCATATCCAGCTCCCGGCAGGGAGCCTGTTTTTCCCTCTGCTTATGTCTCTGCCTCTCTCTGTGTGTCTCTCATGAATAAATAAAGAAATAAACCATAAAAAAAAAAGTTTAGGATGCTTGAAAGTGAGAATGAGGTTGTGTGTGATGTGGTCAAAGTGTCAACGGTAGCCTCCAAAGCAAAAGGGAAATCTTGGAATGGTCTACCGGTTAGTGAATTTAATCAGCACCAACATCCCTTTTTATATGGTGAATAGACTTTGTTTTAATTGTTGTTGGTTTTTACTGCTGTAGAATCAAAATCATGGATAATATAACCCATCTGCACACATAATTAAAAACAACGACAAAACATCCTAGCTATAATATAAAGGAGAAGCATTGCAGAATAGCAAAATAATATACATTTCAAAATGTAAAGGCTAAGGGGCGCCTGCCTGGCTCAGTCTGAGAAACTTGCGGCTCTTGATCTCTGGGTGGTGAGTTCCAGCCCCAGCAAAATCTGCAATAGTTATGTTTCATTGGTTCCCCAAGCATCATAAGGGCTTCCTGTGGGTAGCATGATTTTTTCCAAAATGGTGTATAACTTCTTGGTAAAGTTTTGACTATATAAAAGTACAATCTTCCATTGCTTTTCACATAGAAGAATTCTTAGAAATTTTAGTACAGGCAGGGGTGTCTGGGTGGCACAGTTGGTTGAGCATCCAACTCTGGATTACTGCTCCAGTCATGATCTCAGGGTCCTGGGATCCAGCCCTGGTTGGGCTCCATGCTCAGCAGGGAGTCAGCTTTAGATTCTCTCCCTTTGCCCCTCCTCTCCCCCCACTTCATGCTTGCGTGCTCTCTTTTAGGTAAATAAATCTTTAAAAAGAAGTTTTAGTGTAGGGCAGCCTAGGTGGCTAAGTGGTTTAGCACCGCCTTCAGCCCGGGGTGTGATCCTGGAGACCTGGGATCAAGTCTCGCATTGGGCTCCCTGCATGGAGCCTGCTTCTCCTTCTGCCTGTGTCTCTGCTTCTCTCTCCTTCTGTGTCTCTCATGAATAAATAAATAAAATCTTAAAAAAAAAAAGAAGTTTTAGTGTATATTAAAACTTCAAGAAATAGACTGGCATATATGAAATGGAGTTAGAATCTAGGTCTCAGGGGATCCCTGAGTGGCTCAGCGGTTTAGCACCTGCCTTCAACCCAGAGCATTGTCCTAGGGTCCCAGGATAGAGTCCCACATCAGGCTCCCAGCATGAAGCCTGCTTCTCCCTCTGCCTGTGTCTCTGCGTCTCTCTCTCTCTCTCTCTCAATCTGTCTCTCATGAATAAATAAATAAATAAAATCTTAGGCATCCCTGGGTGGCTCAGTGGTTTAGTGCCTGCCTTTGGCCCAGGAGGTGATCTTCGAGTCCTGGAATCGAGTCCCATGTCGGGATCCTTGCATGGAGCCTGCTTCTCCCTCTGCCTGTATCTCTGCCTCTCATAAATAAATAAATAAAATCTTAAAAAAATAATAAAATCTTAAAAAAAAAAAAGAATCTAGGTCTCAGACACATAAGTAGGCATCTGGCAGGACACTGAAAAGTCAGGTGTGGGGAGCCTGGGTGGCTCAGTTGGTTAAATGTCTGCCTTAGGCTCAGGTCATGATCCCAGGATCCTGGGATGGAGCCCCGCAGCAGTTCATTTGGGAGCCAGCTTCTCCCTCTCTCTCTGACTGCTGCTCCCCCTGCTTATGCTCTCTTTCTCTGTCAAATAGATAAATAAAATATTTTTTAAAAAGTCAGGTGGAGGGATCCCTGGGTGGCACAGCGGTTTGGCGCCTGCCTTTGGCCCAGGGCGCGATCCTGGAGGCCCCGGATCGAATCCCACGTCGGGCTCCCGATGCATGGAGCCTGCTTCTCCCTCTGCCTATGTCTCTGCCTCTTTCTCTCTCTCTCTCTCTCTCTGTGACTATCATAAAATAAATAAAAATTAAAAAAAAAAGTCAGGTGGAATGTAGGACAATATTTTACTGTGCAGGTTTGTTGCATTTGTAGATGGTCTCGCATCCCAATTATATGCTGATACTCCCTCTGCCCCTAGTGATTGTGACAACCTGAAATACCCACACAAATTTCTAGAACACACGGTAGGAGCCAGAATTGTTGAGACGCCCTAGGCTAATTTGCTTTCTCACTCTTTACTTGGTGTGTAGTTGGTTTGAGTAGAGGAGACAAAGTATTTGGAGGTCTACATGTGTGAAGAGTGTGAAAAGACAAAAAGAAACAAAGGTGTAATGGAGTAAACAGATTTATGGTTTCCAGGACTCAAAAAATTAGAGAGAGGATCTAAGAAAGAGATAAATAGTGGAGAAAACTCTAGTTGGCTCTCATGCCAAACTGAAGCCCTTTCTCGCTTGGCTCGGAGGTAACAGAAAATGAAAGCATATTGAAATTAAAGGAAAGGCTTGCAAAGGAAACAAGAAAAAAAAGGTGAAATGAATAAAGAATGAACTCAGTAAAAGTCTGAGCAACAGTCAGAGAAAATAGGTAAGAAGAATACTGTTATACAGGTACTCTTTATAAACCCTTTATTTGGATGAATCTGATATTGTGATTAAGAATTTAGTTTCAGGGAAAAAAAAGAATTTAGTTTCAGAAGAGAAAATTAGCAAAGGATAAGGAATAGGTAAATGAAACCCCTATAGAAATGTAAAGATAGATGGAAATTAAGATGAACACACTAGTTGGGGGATGCCTGGGTGGCTCAACAGTTAAGCATCTGCCTTTGGCTCAGGGCATGATCCTGGAGTCCCGGGATCAAGTTCCACATCGGGCTCCCTGCATGGAGCCCACGTTTCCCTCTGCCTATGTCTCTGCCTCTCTCTGTGTGTCTCTCTCATGAATAAATGAATTAAATCTTTAAAAAAATAATAATAAAAAAATAAAACACAAAAAAAAACCATCATGTTAAAAAAAAAGAGAACATGGGGCATCTGGCTGGCTCAGTACATAGAGCATGCAACTCTTGATCTCAGGGTCCTGGCTCAAGCCCCACATTGGGCTGAGAGATTAAAAACAAAAGATTGGGGTCGTGCGTTGGATCTCCCCCTTGGACAGTTGAGATTAGTTAAAAATAAATAAATAACAATGCAATTTAAAAAAAAAAAGCAAACGTGGGCACACTAGAGTCTCAGCAAGGCTTGACTTTAAACTGAACACATTTTTCTCTTCCTCATTCTCAAAGCCTCCCCCTCCCCTTCCTCTTCATTTGTTTTTCTGTGGAATCCTTTGTTCCAAGAACACTGCACCAATATTGACGTCCCACTGACCTCAAATGTATACTTAGTAACGAGACTCATGGCCAGTGCCAATGCCAGTCATGAGACCACCTTGAAGACGTGACCTACTCTGCTGGCAGCACAGGCCAGATTCCTATCCAAACCGCCCAGATCCTGTATTTTCCTATAAAACCCTTCTACCCCAGATAGGCTTGCAGTCCTTGGAGTCATTAGCCTGCTGCAGCCTTCTATGCCTGGCAAAGGAATAAACTATCTTCCTTCTGTATACCCAAACTCTGTCTTCGAGTTACTGCCCCAGAGCATGGAGGTGGGTTTTCCACAACGGAGAGAAATATCTATTGGAAAAACACTGGTAATGTATATTCTGATACTATTGAAACTAATGTGTCTCTATATTAATTACTATGTTGGTATTCCTATTTGGCATCTCTGGCAGGTGCAGCTTCTTCACCATGCCCACAACTGACCCAAAGTTCCCACCCTTGTGAAGTGAACATGTCAATGGGGGGGGGGGGAAGACAGAAGATAAACATGTAAATATACAGCAGGAGTGATAGTGAATGGGAGATGGTCGAGGAAGGACAGGCTAGTGAGCCAAGACCTGGAGTAAGTAAGAGTCTTTTTTTTTTTTTTCCCCTATGTAATCTCTCCCCCCAACATGGGGCTCGAACTCCCAACCCTGAGATCAAGAGAGGCATGATCCGCAGAC